TGAAAATGTATTTTTAAAAACTTGCACATTAGGCAAACACTTAATATGTTTGTAGATGTTGCGATGTGCTTATAAATGCTGTTTTTAACTCTTTATCAAGCAAAAAACATATATGGGAACTGCATTTGCAATGGTTAAAATATATTTTTTAATGAATAATTGTTTAAGTCAAAAGAAATTACAGTAATGCTCCAGGGTTTGCTCCATGAGCTCCCTAAGCATGTTTTTATTGCATTTGCATATTTTGTCTATCATTGCCCAGTTTTAAGTGCTTCAAACCAGTGAACAATTTAGTTTCATTTGGTTCAAAGCTTTGAGAAGCTAAATGCAGCAAGCACTAGGTAGGAACTAAATAGGGTTTGGCACAGGGACCACAAGGATCGAGCAGTCTGAAAAGTGTCTTAAAGCCCCAAAGAAGTGTCTAATTTTTAAAAAGCTTTTAAAAGAAAAATATTAAAAATCTTTTTTCATTTTTAAGCGAGATGCTGATTGTTGAATCCAATTCAATGATCTATGCTAAGCTAAGCTAAAAAGTGCTTCTCCCAGACATGAAGACAAAAATGGTAAACTGTTTAACTCTAGGGGAGTGTGTGTGTGTGTGTGTGTGTGTGTGTGTGTGTGTGTGTGTGTGTGTGTGTGTGTGTGTGTGTGTGTGTGTAGTTAAAGTCAGAATTATTACCCCCCCCCCTGATTTTCTTTTTTCTTTTTTAAATATTTCCCAAATGATGTTTAACAGAGCAAGTAAATTTTCACAGTGTGTCTGATAATATTTTTTTCTTCTGGAGAAAGTCGTATTTGTTTTATTTCGGCTGGAATAAAAGCAGTTTTACATTTTTGTAAAAGCCTTTTAGGTCAAAATTATTAGCTCCTTTAAGCTATATTTTTAGTAAGTCTACAGAATAAACCATCATTAAACAATAACTTGCCTAATTACCCTAACCTGTCTAGTTAACCTAATTAACCTAGTTAAGCCTTTAAATGTCACTTTAAGCTGTATAGAAGTGTCTTGAAAAATATCTAGTAAAATATTATTTACTGTCATCAAAGTAAGATAAAATAAATCAGTTACTAGAAATGAGTTATTAAAACTATTATGTTTAGAAATGTGTTAAAAAAAATCTTCTCTCTGTTAAACAGAAATTGCCGGGGGGGGGGGGGGGGGGGGGTAAAAAGCCCCTTCAATATTGTGCACACTATGCTATTTACACAACAGGTGAGCAATCTCTGTTCATCTGCCACATTTTTCTCGGTTGTATTTTTATTAATTATCATTCACTTTCCAACAGGGGAACAGCTCTACAGGGATCACATGACTGAGAACGAGGAGAGAGCTATACTCCGTTTACAGCCTCTGCATGTTAGACTATGGACCAGAGTCTCACCATTGCTCATATGGTTCTTGCTGAAGATTTTCAACTTCATCAGAATGTCGAACAACAGAACCATGGACGCAGACAACAGTTTTCGTGTGGTCTATCAGTATACAGGCTGTATACTTTTCACAATTCTTTTCTGGGCAATAACTTTAATGGTGTGTATCCATCTCTTGTGCATTTCAGCAGTTTTTCTAGTTATTATAAGTTACACAATTTTAAATGTATTGTAAAGGGATAACTTTTGTAAAGGGGAAATTGTTTTTGTCTTACGTTGAACACGGAAGATATGACTACAGAATTATATTTTTGGATGAACTTAACCTTAAAGGGCTCAAAACACTTAGGCCAATTAATTTTGTTATAATAGAGTGAATTTTGATGTGAAATACATCCTATATAGGGAGTTTCATTTACTCAATCTTTGAATTAGTGTATATTTTGAACATGTTACATTAATCACTGTTGCCTCTCTTTCTCTGCAGTCTTCTGTGCATAGCGTAAATGTGTATCTGCTCTTACTCACAACGTGCACCCAAGTCTTTCAGATGTTTGAGGTAAGCTAAAGAATCTCACTGATTTACATGCAACTCAAGGGTACTCCCGCACATTAGGGCTGGGGCTGTGCCTATTCAATGCTATGCTGATATTTGTGTGCCGTTTCTTTCAGATCTTCCTGAAGTTCCACATTGCTACTTATGATGACCACAGAGCATTTGCATCAGACTACAAATCAACATCCCATAGCTATCTGACAAGAAAATTCGGATTTGCCTTTGACATGGCCTGTGCTTTTCCATTTGGACTTATAATTGTTCATCTGGTGGAAAAGGATTCTCCATTATTCCTGCCCATTATGATCATTTATGCCCGAATTGCTCACTTGCCACGAATTATTTCACTGTTAGTGTTTATGTGGAAAGAAGAGCAATCAATCACATCCAAGTATGTCTTTAGTTGCTGTATCTCCATTAAATTCATCTAAATGTAATGTTACTTACATTTACTGATAATGTGTATGAATTTCAAGAACTGAGGTGTTTATTTGTCAACCCATGCTCATTCTGAAAATGCAGTCCCTTGGACGTTTCTGTAGACCGCGAAATAACTGCCGGGAGGTACGTATTTTTGCAGTTTTTGTTTTTGCAAATCTATGAGAGGCCACTGTGTTCGCTTTTTCGCATCTCGAATGTCTCTCGTGAGTGCCGTTTGCGCCTGTGTTGTTCTTACGTAAACCCACCAGAGGCCGCTGTCGATTGACCGTCTGTCTGGCTGGCTGAATGATTGACTGGGCGACCGGCAAATCGGCTGACCCACCCTCCTCCTTCCCAGAACCAAACCAATTTTACAGATTGACCCGCCCACCCGCTTACTTACCTAACCCAACCAACAATTTACAAAAGCCATCTAGAAAAAGAAAATCCCTCGTCTGATTTTTACCACTTTTTTGGATTTTACCACATTCTCACCCTGTTATGAACTTGTTCACTTTATTTTTTGGATTCTGTTTTTGTCTTGTACCTGATTTCTGGAACCGCTCTTCCCTGGACTCAAACTCAGTCATCGTTGTCATGGTCAACTCCTCTCTGCGTCTTAAGTCTGACGTACACAACGAGCTAACTGGACAAACTGGTTGCGGCGGGAAAGCCCTCAACACGGACGTAAGCGTTCAGAAAAGAAACGACGTCATACTGCCCCGTACCGTTCACTTAAAAAATTAAATGCAGCCTTACGTACTGTAGGGTCCAGCCAGTTGGTCCAATGACGGTATCCAATGGTGGATGAAGGTTCACTGCATGTTCGGTCTTTCCTGTGCACAATGTTGATTTATATTAAACTTAACTCATATCTGACTCCAATTTTAGTATGAGATGGTTTAGAATATTAATATGTTTATCCTCGTTTTATCTGACTCCAATTATAAAACATTGAGAAGATTATTTTTTTTCCTTTCACATTATTTTAGATTATGATTGAATATTCTTTTGATTTGTTATTATACCTTATTCTCATTTACTCAGATTCCGATAGCATCTCGAGTCTTGCACCGGCCGGGTATACAATCTCTTAATACAAGCTTGTCAGTCTTGGTCATTAAACAGAGGCGATTAACCACTCTCCTAAAAAGGCGGAACACTACTTACTCAATTTAGGAGATTTTTATGTGGTCCCCATGGATCTGTTATCTACTTAATCAAGACAAAGTATTTTAATAATAATCGCGCAGGATTATACTATTGTAGATGAAGGCCTAAATATCCACATTTAAAGTAGTTTCAACAATATTTTGTTGTTCTAAATAGTTGGCCTTTTACAGTCCAAGTATACATGAAATAATGCCAATTTGTTAGTCGGATCTCTAACAACATTGAATAGCGTGCCACGCTGCTCCGTCTAACATGTTTTAGTCCGTTACTAACCTGTACAGTGGCTTGTAGTGCTATGGACAACAACATTTATCAGTGATAATAACACGAACTCTGTTTGAATCATTCAAAACATAACAATTTATTAGTCAGGTAAATGTATTATGCCAATTCAATCAGTCAATTCATAAATGATCAATACAAAACATCAAATTATCAAAGATAAATCCAAGATGAAAAAGATGCATTCCTGACTTTGAAATATACATAACATGGGGCAGACCCCATGTTATGGGCTGATCTGGTTAGGCAGAATCGCCCTGAGTTTTTCTCAACCCTTACCTTAGATAATCCAAGAATTCCCTCAAGGAAGGGGGTGTGAAAAAAGGCATTCACACTTAGTGTAAAAGTCACACCCCTCACAGTGGTTCAAAAGATGCCTGAAGTTATATATTTATTATTCTGATTATGTCTATTTCTGAGAGAATGAGACCATTGTACCAATCGCACTGAGACATTTCAAATGATATCAAACATGATAGTTAAAGTCAATTTGGTTAATCTAAAACATTCAAACATTGAAATGACCATAAGCGTGAGTTGGGGGGATGAAGCTGAGTCTCAGCATAGTCAGATGCAAATTCAGCAGGAACTGGTTTTTCACGCATTCCCCCCTGGTGGGTTGTGGAGTCCATTGGCCCTGTCTTCATCTCATGTTTTGAATTGTCAAAGACATCAAAAATATTTGTAATATTTCAATTCTTACAGTACCTCCTGCTACATAATTCGCGGTCTCCAGAAACGTCTACGGGACTACGTTTTCAGAATGAGCCTGGGTTGTCACTTGTCGAGCACATTTGTAAAATGTGTCTTTTTGTTTGTTTTCAGCCTTCTGTGCATAAGGATGATCAAGTTTTTTGTCCACTCTGTCCTCTTTGTCCACTGTGCAGCGATGCTTTGCGTTTCTTTTGTTGAGATCTATGGAGTCATGTCATGGATTGCTGAAATAGGTGAGGGGAGAAAAAAAAAACCTTTTATGGAGTCAAAGCATGAGGTATCAAAATGGTATTTGAATTGACTTTGGAATGTTTGAAAGGGATAGATCTCCCAAAACTGAACATTCTGTTACCATCCATCCACTCCACAAAACTTAAGAGTTTATATTATATATGATTTTTGGGGGGTTTAGAATGACCTGGGGATCAGTTTTAAGAGTCTGTAGTAAATTGTGTGTCCATGCTGTCACAGTCATGATGGTAATTTCTGTAACTCTTTAAATTATTTTCCAGAAATCTCTGACTTCTCTGAAATGTACAAATATGCTGTCTATTGGATAGTACAGATTTACACTACAGTCGGCTTTGGGGATATATTGTCTCTAAATCTCGGGGAAGTGATGGCATGTACTTTCATAATGATCCTGTCCAAAATACAAGTGATTTATAAAATGGGACTTCTCATAGCTACGCAAACCAACAAGAACACACTACAAGTAGCCTTTGAGGCGAAACTGCAGGTAATTGTAAGCACCACATCTTTCAGAACTACTCTTAAGTGTGTACTTTTACTCCAGTAATGATTTACATCTGACTAATCTTGTTATTCCCAGACCATTCTGGAGTACATGAAGCATGAAAGAATCCCACGGCAATTGCAAAATCGTGTGTCACATTTTTACAACTATCAGTGGAACCGCAACAAGGGGATCTGCACCGAGGAATTGTTCAGAGGTGTCCCGCGCTGTTTGAAAATGGACGTTTTGATGAGGTAAACAAGCCTACTTTGTTATTTGGGCAACCATTTGACATTTTACTGAGGTTTTGAACGTATTCTTCACTTACAAGCCGGCTTAATTATTGGAATCTATTTGGCTCAAGACTTCCTGTCTCATTCACTTCCATTGATTTTTAGATGTTAAAAACAGTTCGTTCTTCTGTTCGATGTTGCAAATTGATATTTTATTATTATATTCTTCTTCTTTTTATGTATAGTCATGAACACAATTACTAGTCATGAATGTTTTCTGTCAATTGTTACTCCTAGTCATTTCTCCCAATGGCAGCTTAATCGGAAGTTCTAAAACATTTACAATTACAAGCACAGCCTTTTAAAGATCATTTCTTGCTATTAATGTCAGAATTGACCAGTAATTTGCAATGGATGTGTGAGTAGGGGTGTCTTAAAATCTTTTTAAATTGCAAAACCAAAATTTTAGGCCCTAAAAAAGTCTTAAATTTACTGAAATATTGTGTTGTAGGTAAATCATTTTAAACAGGTCTTCATTTTCCTATGTCCATGTAAAACTGCCCAATTGGGCCAGGACCACACCTGCCAATACTCCCGTTTTTCCCGGGAGTCTCCCGTATTTCAAACCTATCACCCATATTGTTCTGTCTCCCGGAAATCCCCCTCCCCCCTCCCCCTGCTCCGTATCTTTTTGATACAGTCCGGCCAGCCTTTTGGTACAGTACCCATGCGCACCAAACCCAACGCATAACCATCTCCATACAAAATGTCGGCAGTTATGACCAGGACCCATTAAATCACAGTGCCTCAGTGGGTAGCACTATTGCCTCACAGCAAAAAGGTCCCTGGTTCGAGTCTCGGCTGGACCTGTTGGCATTTCTGTGTGAAGTTTGCACGTTTCCCCTGTGTTGGCATGGGTTTCCTCCAGATGCTCCGATTTACTCCACTCTCCAAACACATTCGCTATAGGTGAATTGGGTAAACTAAATTGGCCATTGTGTATGAGTGTGTGTGTGAATGTGAGAGTGTATGGGTGTTTTCCAGTACTGGGTTGTGATTGGAAGGGCATCCACTGCATTAAACATATTTTGGAATAGTTGGCGGTTCATTCTGCTGTGGCGACCTCTGAAATAGACATTAAGCCGAATGAAAATTAATAAATGAGTATTTTAGTGTAATTTTGACAATTTTATGCAAATGCACTCCCCTACAAAATGATCCCATCAGTGTTAAATCATGAAATAACTAGCCTGATCTCTTGAGGAAACGTAAGTATTTTTAAGTTTTGTCAGTTTAGTGGCTAATTCGTACCAATTCGTACAAGTTCAGTCGTACGAAAATATTTAAAAACGAGGCATGGCACCCAACACCACCCCTAACCTCAACCGTCATTGGGTGATGAGCAAATCGAACTAAATTGCACGAATTAGATCATACGAATTCATACAAATTAGCCACTAAATCAAAAAGTTAAAAATTTAAATGTGCATTGCAAATAACAGTCATCTTGTGGACTCCTATCGCTATATATGTTGCAGAAAAAAGCAGCTCATTTTTAAATAAATCACTTAAGTAAAAACAATACATTGCAATGTCAGTTTTTTCCAATATCGTGCGTGCAGTCCTAATCTTAACAGACTTTGGTTGAAAAGTGAATGTAATTTTCTCTGATTTAGCATCTGTGGGGAGTATTTAAAGAGTCATCACCTCTTCTCTCATTTTACAATACCCGTCATGAGGGAACTTTCCGCGAGAGTCACCTTCCGATGTTTCCCTGTTGGTGAGCAAAATGTTGCGAAATCAAGTCGCAAGCCTTACAACTATGCAGGAAACACAGTGTTGCATATTGATTCTTTTTGTTTTGTTTTTTTAAGGAGAATGCATTTACAGAAAGGGAGACAGCGGCACTGAAATCTACTTTCTTTTAATTGGCAAAGTTAATCTGTGCCTGGACACCAGAGGTCATGAGGTCTATCAGCGGCTGTGTCGCGGAACAGCTTTCGGCGACCGCATTGTAATAGAACACACCCGCCATGACACCGCCATCGCTGCCAACTATGTGGATGTTGCTGTTCTCTCCAAAACCTCTTTGGCATCTTTAAGTCATCTTTATCCAGCTGCCATGCATAAGCTAAAGGAGAAACTTGCTGATATTCAGCAGGAGTAAAGCAATTCTTATTGTTTGTGTATTGTATGGTTTTGTATATTGTAGTTTATCTTAATGTAGTGTAGTATAGTGTAGTGTAGTTTAGTTTAGGGTAGTGTAGTTTAGATTAAAGTACAGTAGTGTAGTTTAGGGTAGTGTATTTTAGTGTTGTGTAGTGTAGTTTAGGGTAGTGTAGTTTTGTGTAGTGTAGTTTTGTGTAGTGTAGTTTAGTGTTGTGTAGTTTTGTGTAGTGTTTATTGTAGTTAGTTAGTTGATCAACCTGTTTAGTTTTCTTTTTGTTTTGTTTACACTTGTAGTTGTCTCAACCTCCTTGTTAGTAGTTTGTTAATTATTTCTCCTTGTAGTCTCCTCATGTCTGCTGTCTTTTGCCAGTTCATTGTCTTTTCTTGTTGTGACCTGTCCCATCCAGCCCTGCTCTTCCCTGCTAGCCCAGTTTGTTTGTTTAGTTGCTTTTGTTAGTGTTTTCCCCCTCTGGGTGGTTTTTGTTCTCCTTTTGTTTGATTTTATAGTTAATAAATACTCATTTTAGTTCTGCATTTGAGTCCTCTTCCTTTCCCCCCTACAGCCGTGACAGTATGATCTGGATAACAGCGGACTCAGCAGCCAAATGGGTATCTTCCTTTTCCCATCTCCCAGTTCTCGCCCCACTGCATGCCAGAAGAGGTAGCATTTGGGCAGTGTTGGGCACTAGCTTAACTACATTTCTCAGTAGCGTGGCGGTAGCGTCGCTACTTTCTAAATCCGATAGCTTTTCAGTAGCGAAGCTATTTTATTAGTCAAGTAGCGCAGTAGCATCCACACAAGCTACATTTACCGATCGCGGATCAATAAGTGACAGCACTGACATTTACAGAGCTGTGAGGCCGGTGTCTAGCCGATGAAAGTAAATCCATATGATGGCGAGAGTGACGATTTCTTTTTCTTCCTGTTTTACGGTGTTTGACAACAAAGTTTTTGGTGCGTTACTACCACCTCTGCCAACGACGTCGTTAAACTGAAACTTGCTTGATGGAAAGATGACTGAGGGAGTAACCTCTGAAGCCACCTGCATATTTCGGATATATGTGAAAGACGTCGTGTAACGCGTTGAGTTGTAAGTTGAACACTTACAATATAATGCTTATTGCAAAATATTTCCCGTTACTATAAATTACTATAGTATTTTAAATGTATAACACCTGGTTTTATTGGATATTTTGTTTTAGCTGTTATATACTATAATTTGTTTCTGTTTAGTACAGCTTATTATTTACAGTAAATAACTGAACTGAACTATTATCCCTCATATGTTTCATTGACAGTTTTATTGATCAGTAAGATCTGATTGACTTGGATTTAAGTTGCTTCGATTTAAACATGAAAATTGTAAAAATAGCTCAGATATAGCTAAGCTACTTTTGACAAGTAGCTTTTAGCTTAGCTTGCTACATTTTCCAGGGGGTAGCTTTTAATGTAGTTAAGGCAAGCTACATTTTAAGTGGAGAAACTTATAGCTTAGCTCACTACATTTTTTAAGTAACTTGCCAAACACTGGGTTTAGGCAAACTACTTGGACTTTGTCAAGGGGAATCTTCAGCTAGGGAGTTCACCTACCAGTTTGTCTACACGGCAGAGGGGCTTGAATTTACCACCACATCACGGGAGGAGGCCTTCAACGCTGGCCTCTACAGCCCCCTTCAGGCCTGGGAGATGAAAATGCTGAGCATACTAACAATCTAGCATTTTATGAGCTGCCTATACCCCAGCCAGGGGAACGGTTTCCTGCCTCCCCTTGGTCTACCACCTCTCGCACTCACAGACTGCCAAATCTCCAGTCCTCCAGTGATTTTATGCAAGTGCCCTGCCCTACAAAATAATCCCATCAGTGTTAAATCATGAAATAACAGTCATATTGTGGAAGTCTGCTCATATCGCTATATATGTTGCAGAGAAAACAGAACAGGTACAAAAACATTTTTAAAGAAATCACTTAAGTAAAACGTAATATATAGCAATGTCAGTTTTTTCCAATATCGTCCAATCCTACTCTTAACAGATTTTGATTAAAAAGTGAATATTACTGTTTTTTTTTCTCTGATTTAGCATCTGCAGGAAGCATTTGAAGGATCATCACTTCTTCTCCTACTTAAGAATACCCTTCATGTGGGAACTTTCTAAAAGAATCGTCTTCTAATGTTTCCCTGTTGGTGAGCATAATGTTAAGAAATCAAGTCTCAAGCCTTAACTATGCAGAAAACAGTATTTGAGAGAAATTTGATTTTCCCCGCTTGTTGTTAAGGTACATTTAAGCCAAGTTTGTGGATAGCACACTTGCCTCACAGCAAGAAGGTTGCTGGTTCGAGCCTTGGCTGCGTCAGTTGACATTTCTGTGCGTTTCCTCCGGGTCCTCCGGTTTCCCAATCCAAAGGCATATGGTACGGGTGAATTGGGTAAGTTGTGAATTTGGTAGTGTATGTGTGTGAATGGAAGTGTATGGGTGTTTTCCAGTGATGGGTTGTGGCTGGAGTGCATCCGCTGTGTAAAACACATGCTGGATAAGTTGGCAGTTCATTCCGCTGTGGCGAAAAGCCGAAAAGAAAATGAATAATGATGAACGAATGAATGAATGAATGAATAAAAATGAATAAATCTGATTCTCACTTTGACTAACTTGTGTTTATATTCTATTGTGCATGCATATACGTCTTATTTTTAGAGAAATAGTAAATTAATCTGCTTCTAACCTTTATGAAATCTCAAAAATATAAAATATAGTTCAGTTTAAGCCACTAGAGAGCGGTGTACCTAGTCACAACTTTGTGTGTCAAAATATAGACCAAGCACGTCAACACGGCCGCCATTTTAATCCAGTCATTAGTCATTCAGATATAAAATACGATGCCGTTTATATTTAATAACTGATTATAATTTTATGCTGTAAAAAACTCCAGTTACCTAGAAGTAAGAAAGCTTAAACTTGTAATGGATATTTTATGATATAAAGAGAGATGTAATTTCAATAATGTATCTCCCTCAAAAATAGTGCTGGAGTCTTTTTTTTTCTTGCAGTTTATAACAGTTACCGATAACAGTTCATGAAAAAAAAGTAATGACTCACACATTATTATAATAAATTATAAGTAGTATGTGCATTTTATTTATTTATTCATTTATTATTTTGTATTGATTTTCCTTTGATGAATAAATAGTTGGTAAATGTTAGTATGTAGTCGTGCCCTTTTTAAACCCTAAATAAAGTGCTTCATTATTCATTATCTTCTGTTTTCTCATATAGTTTTTGTAAAATAAAATACTTTCCCAGTGATGGGTTGGAGCTGAAAGGACATTCGCTGCATAAAACATATGCTGGATAAGTGGGCGGTTCATTCCGCTGGGGCGATTCTAGATTAATAAAGGGACTAAGCCGAAAATAAAATAAAATGAATGAATGAAAATAAAATACTGTAAAATCATAGCAGTCACCATTGTTCTCCAGCATCCAGCACTACACATTCCTGTCCAGTAGGTGGAGGAAATGCACTCGAGTGGAGGTTCATCAAAGGTTTTTTTCTTTGCTTTATTTACAAGAACCAGCAAATACAGTTTTATTATTCAACTAAATCACTTCACATATCTTAACAAAAAAGATTAAATGAAAAAAGAAGAAATAAAGAACAGAGGAGAGGGTACATTATCAAATTACATATACATAGACACACATTTTCCAAATTAACAAGAGTTTTAAAATGCACTTTTACTGAAGGAAATGCATATATACAAACATTTTTATGCAAAAAAAAAAAAAAAAGTTAAAGGAGGAGAATATGTTAACCATTTGAATTGCTTTTCTATTTTTACAATTAGAATACTTTTATATACTTTTACATATTACACTTTTATGTACATTTGAATCTCTTTTTTAGTACTTTTGGCAGACTTGGATTTATGTGAAATGTTCGTAATAATAAATGTAAATGTAAATAAATATAATGACCCAAAATCACATGTTTATAAGATAAAGAAAATTATTTTTAAATATTATGAGCAATAAAACCTTCAACATTAATCCAAAAAAGTTGAGTATATTGGCAAGACCAAAATGAATGTGAAATACTTTCATTAAAACTTTTAATAAAATAGCTCTCTAACTCAATATCAGTTAAACATTTTGTAGAAATAATTTTGTGGGTTAAACTCTTATTTGTAATATATAAATGTTAAGGTAATGACCATACTTGAGTCCAATTTACATTATTAAAGATATTGTTTCAGTAAGAGGTTTATCAAAGGGATATTAAGTGATTCTAAATCCTAAACAGGCTCCAAGTGTTTAGTTTCTTTCTTTTGTTTCATTATTAAACACAAAAGAAGATATTTTGAAGAATGTCAAAAATCGATAACTATTAACTTGAAAAAAAAACTGGAGGGAAAAAAAAAACTTGACTACTGGTTTCCAACATCATTCGAAAATTGTAGTTTTTTAAGTGAAACAAAATACTCGAGTGCTGGTTTCATTTCCAATATCATTCAAAATATTTTGTTTTATATTCAACTTGACATTACAGATTTTTTAAATCTAAAAAAGAAAAAAAAAACTAAAAATCAGAGAAAGGCCTGCTCCTCTCGTAAAATAAAATAAACTGCAGTTAGTGTCCTCCTGTCAAAGCCAGCAGTTACTGCTCTGAAAAAGCTGCAAGGGTTTTAGACTTTGTGTCAGGTCAAAAGTCTGGCTCAGCGAGACGACAACAACAACACAGACAAAGCAGAGCTGGTTTTGGGTAAAAGTCTTTGAATGTGAGTGAATGGCCCAGACAGACTCCATAGAAAAGCTGCTCTTCATTCAGTCTGACAGAGCTAATAGATCCTCAAAACTATATGAGAAAAAAAATGATATAATCCACCAACAAAGAATTTTATTGAACAATATAATAGGTGCAGTCCATCTCTCAGCAACAGACATATATTTATGGCATAAAAGATTGAGGTTTTGACGGGGAAATGGTAAAAAAATTGGAGCTGAGAAGTCAAAATGTTCACATACTAGCTGATAAAATTATGACATAGTAGTTAACCTGAAA